CTTTTGGAAAATGATGGCGAGGGGCTAAGTATTTTGTATTTTGTTGTTACTCTTCTTCATATTATGTTAAGTTTTAAAAAACTTGGAGGGTATTTACCTGGATGTAAAAGATTATGTTTAAATTATGCAAAATGGAGGTCCATCATATGTAACACTGCTTGCTTAATCATAACGTTAGAAAAATTTATATCTTCTGTGTTGACCGTTATTTACAGTATAGTACCATTCAACTAACTCTGTTAACACATAATAAGTTTAATTGAGTAAATACGTTAACAAAACCCATCGTTAACTTTGTATGCGGTCCGAATAAATCAAAAAGAATTTGCAGCATATATACGTTATATTAATAACTAACACTTTTATTTCGCTAACAATAATGGAAACATCAAGGGACTTGTTCGCATAAGACATAAAAGAGGACAAATATAATGATCACATCAAATCCTTAACTTAACTTAATAAGAGTGATGCAAAGGATGTCAAATACACAACAGAATTGTTGATACATAATCGCACAGACAAAGTTCAAACCAACAATTAAACAACCCATAACAATTGTTCACAAACTACTTAAAGCAGGACTTAGACATTGAAAACCTCGATGAGAACGGTAATCAACTTCCATGAATCGATCTCCAAATCCGTAAGGTCAATCAGTCTACATTGTTCAATTCCACCAATGGCATTAGCTTGCATTTGGAAAATAGAGAGTAAGCCTGTATCATTTGGGCTAGTTATCTGTTGAATGCCTGTTGTTACAATTGCCATCTGAGTTAACGGCATGTTTGCCATTGACTCATGACCGCCAACCTGTCTGCCCAGATAAGGAAACATTACCTCAATAGGGAACAGCTCGTTCTGCATGCTAACGTCTGTCCTAAGTTGTACGTTGCAGTCGAGAACCTCAATTTTGGAACTGCAAAGATGGACCGCCAGAAAGACCCAGTGTTTGCTGTCGAGATTGAAAGGAAGGTATACTATATCCACCTCAATGAAAAGATGTTGACGGTCACCCTCACCAATGCCAACCAATATCTAAACAACAGGTTTGCTGAACTGGTATTCATCGCGATTAGCAGCCTTCGAAAATCTCGGATACAGTTTGACAAGGCCAGAGACAAACTTCGTATCGAGCACTTCAATTCCAGGTTTGCGATCGTCAACTTTGAGGAGATGCCTACTTAGTTTGACAAGTGCATCCATCACCTGTGTAGATAATTGAGTTAGACACCTCAATAAATCTTTAACCTTAATTAACTGATTTAGATAGTTGATTATTCAGGATATTTTTAAGAATTTTCCTTTGTGGGCATGCATTTCTCTCGTCCCATAATATATGTGACATCTTTCGCTTGCAGTTCAATCTCATCCCCAATAGATAGAGTTCTGTAAACATGTTAACTACGTTAACACCATTCTAAAAGTTATCGGTTGGTAGTTAGCGGGTTATTACCTTTTCAACAATTTAATGGACTCCTCGTACTCTTCTATAGCACTATCGTGAAGACCACCTACTGGTGAGTGTACGCGGACTTTCCTCTTCATATCCTTACCACAGATAAACCGGTTATATATCTTTGTTGAAGCAAATTTAGTCCGCTTGCTTTTCCTACGTACTTCCATATCACTTGCATCATCGCCATCTTCCTTCCGCAGGGCCTTATCAATAACAAGACCAGACATTCGTCCTTCATCATCAGCAGCATCTATGATATCAGCAACATACGAACCCTGCAGTATGGGCAAAAAACTGTAGAAACAGAATTTTTAAAATTCGATTAAATCGAACCCTGCTCAAATAGTTTTACTCACTACATCGCGTGTAGTTCCCACTAAAATATCCTCCTGAGGTAGTGTGGTGCTAACTGGAATTGCATCATCTTTGCCAACCGGCAAGACGGATCCAAAGAAGTCCACATGCACATTAGAGTGGGTTGTCGGAGGGACTTCCGTTTGGGAATCTTCAACTACCGCAGTGTGATGGGTTTTGGCCATCGTTGGACCTGAAGTTTGAATCTAACAAAAAAAATGCATAGTTTGACAGGGTTATCGAATATTGTATATTTCTAGTTAAATCAAAATAGATAACACAGTTGGATAAAAGATTATCTAACAGTTACTATTTCAGATGTTTCTTCAGATGGTAAGTGGGGAGGCGGATTCTTGCCACCTTGTGTTGCCTGTGAAGTAAGATTTCCCTAACGCATTTAACTTCTTAACCCGTGAATATTTCTTACTAGCTGTATACAAAGAAAGTGCAGATAGAGTTAGAGATTTGAAAAACAAACCGCACTGGTTTCATCGATTAAAACATTAGGGACGTCTTGATGGTTAACTTCAACAGTGTTATCGCTGAAAACGTTATCATTAAAATGGTCGCCGTCGAATACGGTGTGTTCATTACAGTGATCACCTTCAAAGGTTTCAGCCATCGGTTCGCTGTTAACTATGTTATCCACAGTGGACACGTTGGTCGGATTAACACTTCCAGATGGTGCATTCTTGGCGGCCGTGTTGGAATAAATAGCAGTTATATATTCCACAGGTAGTTCTTTGTTTACAGGTCCTGTAATATTACCAAATACAACTTCAGATATCATATTTAACATTCACCATCCAAAATATCAAAATCTACATAAGACTCCTGCTGATACTTACCTTGTGCCTGAGCAGATGGCTTCGGGTTTGAGGAATTAGCAACAGGACCTGTTGCCAATTAAATCTTTAGCGTAAAATTAAATAACAACAAAAACTAAACTACCAAAAGAATAACATTGAAAACTTACCTTGAGCCAGCGCATGTGTTTTTGGTATTGAGTGACTTGCAACAGGCTGACCTTGTTGGTTAACAGCAGGACTTGGACGGGCACCATCTGAAATATCGACAACTTCCTCAACGATTACATTTTTCTTGAACCACTCCATAACACCATCAACAATTAGCTTGTTGTTAACGGTAGATTGGGTCGCAGCAACAAACTCTATCTTCATGCTCAGCTCCTTGATTTGAGCAGAAAAAAGTTCTTCAGATTAGCTTCCAGCTTGGATGCTAACTCCTCTATCTTCGTGTCAAAAAAATTACCAATCGCCATGAGATCAATGCCAACACTTGCAAAAATTTTCCCACCAGAACGACTAACTGATGGTTTCCTAAGCTTTCCTTTCCCTTTATTTGATGCAGCTGCCTTCGCCTTTCGAGATACTCGTTTTTTCTTTGACCGAGTAGCCAGTTCTTCGGCCATCAGACCAGGTCCAAACATCTCCCTAGAGAACTCCAGACCCTGATTGTACAATTTGATCATGTGATCCACCATAGGATGTTCATCGTTATCCGAACAAGAAATATCTTCGTCGTTTTGATTAAACTCTACTTCAGAGCGTATGATCATCTCTACTTCGACCTGCTTAATCAAAATGTTATCAACGTTAATAGATAAACTATAGTTATATCACACTCCAATAAATGTTAATAAGGTTACCAGATGCGTTATAGTTCGAACATTGTTAACATTCAGCGGTATTATTGTGCTTAGCAAAAAACAAGAAACTGATAAGACCATTTTCCAGAATGGTAACTTAGATATCGATTAATAATTTTAAAGCTAACCAGGTTAACGGTATTACTGATAATATGGTATTAGTGATAATACTACATACAGTTGCCGCTGACCTATTCCGCTAATCTAGTTATCAACCATGAATCAAACAACTTATTCATATAGGGTATTCAATAACAATGTTAGCGATGAAATAAAATTATAACGCATCTTCAATCTATCATTTACAATGTTGACAGAAGCGTTATAGTTCTAACCTTGTTAACATTCAGCAGTATCGTTACCAGTCATCAGTTATCAACCATGAATCATACAACTTTTTCATATAGGGTTATTCGATAACAACGTTAACAGATGAATTAAAATTATGACGCATACTAATAAATCGTTAACAAAGTTGACATCAGTGTTTTAGTTCTGACCTTGTTGACATCCAGCGGTGTTGTTATAATTACAAGATACAAAAATTTGTTAATACTATTCTAAAGAGTGCCAACTATAATATCGAATATTAATTTAACGCTAACAGTGTTAACGATATTAGTAATCATATTCCATAGATTTACTACTAATCTCTTCCGCTAATCTATTTATCAACCATGAATCAAACAACTTATTCATCGGGGGTATTCCAAAACCAGAAAGGCCAACTGTTAAAATAATAATCTCAAACATGATTATCGGAAAAATTATGTTAGCAGGAAAAATTACCTCATCTTGTTCTTGAGTGAACGAATCTTGGTCATCGATAACTGAAGTTTTTGCCCACCACGGTGGCTAACAAAATCTTCATCTTCGCTTCCGTCGCTATCTTCTACAATAGCCGGAACAGCTTCTAAAACGACCATCGGAATTTCGGGGAAGAAACCTTGTACAACAATATTAGCGGTCGCAAAATGAGCAAAATCCCTAGTTAACAGCGATTCCATTACTATTTCCTATGAGAGTCTCCCCCATGGATAAGAAATGAAAGCATTTAAATCTTCCACCATCTCAGCATGGTCGAGATCAATCTTCATTCGCGGGACGGACGGTAACAGAATTGCATCAACAATTAAAAGACATGGATAACGCAGCCTTGTCTAACTGTCTAACAGACCAACTTTGAAGCATCTGGAGCACCTTCTCCTCAGAAACATCTCTAGCACCACCAAATAACTGTTCATAGAAATGCTCGCCGTTGTTGGACCTTCTTCTCTTCTTTCCACTTTGTGGATATTTCCCACAACAAAGACCAGTCACGATTTTGAATTCTCTGAGACTAAACCGAATTGGTTTACCAGCAAATAACACCCAAATCTCAATGTCTTTTTCAACTTTAGGCATCCTCGTCAGTGTGAATAGCACAAAAGCACAAGACCAGGCCGGCTTGCTAGTTATCTCAAAAAGTTTCCCAAAGTGACTCTTGTAGATGAACTTGCGTTCTTCCTCGTCAAGGGCATGTTCAATCTCAGAAAGAACCGAGAGCTTCTGGTAGATATTCACCCTCTCGCCTGTGGGGGGCTAACTGTTGGGGTTGGTCCGAAGCCTTGCCTTGGCTCAGAGCTTGTTGTGGTATGACTTCCATCTTCTAACCTAGTTGTTTTGGTGTTGTTTTTGCAGTTGGGAGCTTCCTTCCTTCTGTTCGCGACGACCTTTTCTTTGTTCGAGATACTCTCGTGGCTCGGAAAGTCAATTGGAGGAAACACTTCTCTTTTGAGAGAGTAGAGAGTGCCCGAGCCATTTTCACCGGGGTGTCCATTATCTCTTCTTCGTCAAATTCCTCAGGAGACATGAGAGAGAAGATGGTGATCTTTACGCTCAGGGAAAAGAAGAGGCGTGAAGTCGAAGAGGTCGCTGGACGAGCCGATCAGACAGCTCCCGTAGGGACTGAGGTGGTACCTCGGGATGACCTGCCGAAGCTTGAGGGGAGCGAGGCTGCCCGAGCTACTGAAGAGAATGCTCCCAAGGTGACTACGCAGGAGGCAGCACCCGAGGTGGAGCCGGGCGAGATTATCCCCGAGGCGTCTAGGGAGAACTCCGCGGCTCGGAGTAAAACGCCGCCCGCCTCATCAATTCTGGCCCTTCCGAAACAGTCGAGGCCCCCAGCTTCAAATCTGTTGAAGCATGATGTCAGTAGAAAACGGTCCGCTACGGAAAAGGGTAAGGGGGTGGCCACCCAAAAGAACGAGCCGTCAAAAAATAAATGCAAGTCGGCGCCCAGCAAGCCCGCGTCTTATAAGCTGTTTATCGACGATCCGGCCGCTTCTGCGGTGATGCTCTCGCGTGTTAATAATGCCAACACGCGTCTTCCGCCTCCCGAGCAGCTAAGGAGGTCAAAGTCTTATGCTGCTATGGCGCAGCGCGGCACCAAGGTTTTTCTTTATCTCTTTTCTTCTTTGCATCAATTTTTGACTTAGAGTTTGAAATACTTCTTTTTTGTAGTTTATTGCGGATTTCAAAGAGATGATGGCTGGCTATGAATCAGACTTGGTTAAAGATGAGCGCTGCTTGGAAAAGGCTCGGAAGGAGGCCGCAATGGCTAAGAGAAAGTTGGACGAGACGATGGCCAAGGTTAAGAAACTGGAAGAGGAAAAGATAGCTCTTCGGGCCAATGTTGACAAGGTGTCGTCCGTGGTGACTCGTCTTGAGGAGTCCAGGAGGGCTAAGAGTGCCGAGGTGGCTCTGTTGAAGAGGCGCATCGAGACTAAGGACGCCATGTTCGATGCTAAAGTGAAGCGGGCTAAGAAGGAAGCGAGGCATGAGCTGACGGCTAAATTCCAGGAGCGCCTTGCCAAGGTGGAGAAGGTCTCACCAAGCTTGAAAAGGCTAAGAGCGACAAAATCGAGCTGGGCCAGATCAAAAGCAACCTTGCTATGATTGACGAGCTTCGGAAACCTGACGGCTCGACTTTAGATGCCGAAGGGGAAAAGTTGAAGGGTTGGGAGGCCGAATACGTTGAGGACGAGGCGTATGAGCGTATCGCATCCGAGATCCAAGGTGAATTGGTCTTTTCGCCTGTGTCGTCAGATTCCGTCGACACCCGTCTGGGCATCGAGCCGATCCAGGAGACAGCGGCTAATCTCGGTGTCGAGGATCCGACCGGGTCAAACACGGGTACACCAGCTCTTTCGAACCTCCTTGCCGAGCGAGGGATGCGTTCTGCGGCTTGACTCCTCCCTCTATCGAAGTGAATGCTCTTCTTTTGAACTCTATTTCTTACGATAAGTGCCTAGACGGCTTTATCCATCTTATGTACTCCTATTATTATTGATGCCTGGATGGCTTTATCAATTTGATCGTAGTGTTTTTATACGGTAGTGATATTATCCATCTCTTTTTTTTTCTTGAATTGCTGGTTTTTCCCTTAACGATTTTGTGAGAATCGTTTGGTCCAAACTTTTGGTCCAAACTCTTGTTGGACCGAGCTGTTCCTAAGCAGTTTTGTCGAGCCGAGACAGGGGTGCTTGGTTTTCCTTTCTGGCTAAGCTGTTACGAAAGATAGATAGAACAGATTTTCTGGGTATCGAATAGATTTTATTTAAGTTAAAGAAAAAATCCCGAGCTGGGAGATATGTCTTTGTTTAGATAATTCTTGCAAAGGGGATTAACGTTCTTTTATGCCGAGGTGTTGAGTTAGAAGGGAGAAAGTGTATAACGAGGTATTTTAACTCGGATTTAGTTTTAGCCTTCTGAGGCGCTAAGTTTGAATTTCTCGTTGCTGAGGTTCATGTCTGAGTAGACGGTATCAGAATTTGATTATAGACCGGCGTTCCCAAGAGGGTGAATGTGTTTTCCGGGTTTCAAGAGTTTACCTCGATTTTAGAGAAAGCGATGTAGTCTCGACTTTTAATCTCGTGTGCGATGGCGAACCGTGGCGACCGATACGTTTTTGGTCTGAAATTTGTATAGTGCACTTGATTTTAATCCATAGAGGATGTAACTTGCACCCCCCCCCCCCCGTCCTAGGAAACGTGGTAAAAAGTCCATTTAGAGAACTTTGTGATTGTTGTCTCGTTGTGGCCAGCAACTAGGCGAGGTGTTTGGAACTATAGATCAGAAAGTTTTGCCAAAGCGAATGCAAGGATAAGTAAAAGTCTAGGTGAAGTGAAAACAATTGAATGAGTGAATGAAAACAAGTTTCTCAAAAATTGCCGAAGTGACAATAAGTGAATGAAAAATTTAGCCGAAGTGAAAATAAGTGAATGAAAAATTAGCCGAATTGAACATAAGTGAATGAAAAACTAGCCGAAGTGAGAATGATCTTAGAGACAGTAGACTCGACGAGCTAAAATCTTAAAAATGATGTACGTATAAGTGTATACGTACCCACTCCCCCCCCCCTTCCTTTTTAGGAGAAGGGACAGCTGAACCCGTTTGAGGACGGGCTGCCTACGTACCCTTTGCAGGGATCAAGCTGTCCAGTAGTTCATGTTGGTCGTGCTGTAGTCTTAGTGTTAATACTTCTTTAGGTGCATTTCGTTCCACGATCTTGGAATTGCTTCGTCACCTACCGTGGCAAGTTTTTAAACTCCTGGGTGAACTACTTTTGTAATCTTGTAGGGGCCTTCCCAATTTGCTCCGAGCTTTCCTGCATTCCTCTCGGCAGTGTTTTGGAACACTTTTCCAAGGACAAGCTCTCCTTCTTTGAATCTTCGGCCTCGAACGTTTTTGTTGTAGTACTTCGCTGTTGCTTGTTGGTAGTTCTGGATCCGGATTAAGGCCTGATCGCGCCTTTCGTTGATTAAGTCGAGCTCATCTAACATCATTAAGTGATTCAAATCTTCGTGTCCTGACAGAAGTCTTTGTCGAATTCTGGGGAAATCCACCTCGGGAGGGATCGCACACTCTGTTCCATAGACGAGAGCAAATGGAGTTTCTCCAGTGGCTCGGCGCGGAGTCTCCCGATACGATCAAAGGACTCATTCGAGTTTGTCTGTCCATCGTCCCTTTTTGGTGTCAAGCCTCTTTTTCAGGCCGTCTAGGATTGTCTTGCTGGCTGCTTCAGCTTGTCAATTCCCTTGGGGATATCTTGGCGTGGATTTGCTCAGGTGGATTTTCCACTTCTCGCAGAAAACTTCGAAACGAGTTGAGATGAACTGAGATCCGTTGTCGGTGACTATCTCGTAGGGAACCCCATATCGGCATATGATATTTTTCCAGACAAAGTGTTTGACCTAAGCGTCCTTTATACTTCCGTAGGAGTCGGCTTTGACCCATTTGGAAAAATAATCTATAAGGACGAGCAAAAAAACGCTTCTTCTTTGATCGATGTAAAGGCCCGACTATATCCATCGACCATCTCATGAAGGGATAAAGTGGCGAAATCGACAACAGCAGCTCGGTAAATTGATGGATTGTACGCGTGTGTCGTTGACATTTCTCTCACTTCGCCGTGAACTTCTCATAGTCCTTGACCATCGTAGGCCAGAAGTACCTGTGCCGTTTTATCTTGATCGCTAGTGACCTTCCGCTAGAGTGATTACCGCACGCGTCGCTATGCACCTCGTGCATTACTTATCTTGCCTCGGGTTCTTTGACACACATCATTAGTGGTCCTGAAAACCTCCACTAGAACACCTCACCGTCGATGAGGATGTATTGCACGGATTTAGCGTGCGAGCTTCCCACTTGTTGGTTGGCACTTCTCCGTCGGCGATGTAGACGCGAATATTTCCGAGCCATTCCTTGTTGCAGCCGTACTCCAGTTCGGCTGACGAGGCGTTTTCTTCCATTGCGATTGGTTCACCGTTATCCGGTTCTTCCTCCGGAGGGTTGATTAGCCGAACTCCTTCTACCTCCTCTATGCTCGAACGTTTGATGAATTCGACTGGAATTGTTCGTTGGAGATCCGGGTTCTGAGGTCGAGGCGAGCGCTGCTAAGACATTTGTACTAAGTCCTGGACTACTCTGAGGTAAGCTCCCATTCTTCCATCCTTCGCCTAGTACTCGCCGTTAAATTGATTTGCTTCGAGCTATGAGTCGCAAAAAGCTCTTTTTCCGAGCTTTGATTCCTTGCGATAGTCGTAGGCCAGCGATCAGTGCTTCGTACCCTGCTTCGTTGTTTGAGGCATGAAAATTCAGGCGAAAATACTGCTCCTGAATCTCTCCAGTGGGCGAGGTGAGGTGAATTCCTATTCCTGAACCATGTTTGGATGACGAACCGTCGACATGCAGCGTCCAAACTTCATCTGGAGTTGGCTCGGTTGTTGCCTCAGTCAGAAGTTCGATGAGGAAATCTGCGAGCACCTGGGATATTGCAGACGACCTATTCCGATACTCGATATCATACTTGCTCAACTCTATGGCCCATTTTGTTAGCCGCCCAGATTCGCTCGGGCTGTTCAGGATCGAGCGTAGTGGAAGGGTCGCAAGCACAATAATCGAATGCGATTGAAAATAAGGACGCAACTTGCGAGCCGATACTACGACGGCTAGGGCGACCTTCTCGATTTGTGGGTAACGAGTCTCGGCATCGGTCAATGTCAGACTGATGTAAAAAATGGGTTTTTGTTCTGACCGCTCCTCTCTTATCAGTACTCCGCTTACAGCCGTAGCGGATACAACGATGTAAAGGAAGAAGGGTTCTCCTTCTACTGGTTTCGCCAAGACCGGCGGGCTTGCTAGATAATTCTTCAACTCCTGGAAAGCTGCTTCGCATCGCTCGTCCCATTCGAATTTTTTATTTCCTCGAAGGATATCAAAGAAAGGGAGGCACTTGTCGGTAGATCGCGAGATGAATCGGTTTAGCGCAGCGACTCTTCCTGTGAGTCTTTGAACTTCTCACTTCGTTCTTGGAGAAGGCATCTCGATTAACGCCTTGATCTGCTTGGGGTTTGCTTCAATGCCTTGGTGTGTCACCAGATAGCCGAGGAACTCTCCTGAGGTGACTGCGAATCTACACTTTGTCGGGTTAAGTTTCATGTTGTGCTTGTTTAATTGCTCGAAGCATTCCGGTAGGTGCACGATGTGGTCTTTTTCTTCGAGCGATTTGACCAGCATATCGTCGATGTACACCTCCATGGTTTTTCCGAGCTGATCTGCGAACATCTTATTGACGAGCCGCTGGTATGTTGTCCCAGCGTTTTTGAGTCTGAACGGCAAGACTTTGTAGCAATATATCCCGCGGTAGGTTATGAACACCATTTTTTCTCTGTCATCGGGATGCATCAGGATTTGGTTGTAACCTGAAAACGCGTCCATGAACGTCAACAATCTGTTTCCTGCTGTAGCTTTGAAGAGCCGATCGATATGCGGTAGAGGGAAACTGTCTTTTGGGCACGCCTTGTTAAGATCTGTAAAATCTACGTAGACTCGCCACTTGCCAATCTTCTTCTTCACGGCTACTGGGTTTGCGAGCCAGTCCAGGTATTTTGCCTCGGCGATTGATCCCACTTTTAGCAATCTTTCTACTTCGTCGTTGACGGCTTTAGCTCGTTCTGGGCCAAGCTTCCTCCTTTTTTGCTTGATTGGTTTGAAGGTCGGATCTACGTTCAGCTCATGACAGGTCACATCGATGCTTATGCCGGGCATATTCTCCGCGGTCCAGGCAAAAGTGTTGATATTCACCTTGAGGAATGAGAGGAGCTCGTTCCTCGAAGGTTCTCCCAGCTTAGTTCCGATCTTGGCGCGCCTCTCTGGATGCGTTTCGTCTATGCACACCGAGTCCACCGCATCACATTCTGGCTCGGTGCGTATTTCGCGCTTCTCCGCGATCTGTAATTTCTATAAGAGTTTTGAGAGCTCGTTTGCGGGCTCTCGATCTGTCTTCAGCTTCTTGCGATCTACATCTACGTGCGCGTCGGTGACAGGGTTCCTCAATTTGTGCTCCGTCAGGAAACACATTCGCGACTCCTTCTGGTTTCTCCAAATTATTTTGATGCCTGCAGGAGTTGGAACTTGAGGCAGAGGTGATAAATGGATGGGATCGCCCTCATTGCATTTTATCCATGGAGTCCCCATGATCATGGTGTAGATTGCTGGATGATCG